CGACCACCAAAGGTGTGATTATAATACGGTTCTTCTTCGCTCTGCTCAAAAGAACGAGCACGCGGGGAACAGGTTGATTACAAGCAGTTATCGATCGGAAGGCACATTTTTCACTTGATTTTTCATCGGTACCGACGCTCTTGTTGCTCTCTCTCTGCTCTCGTAAACTGCACTTAGATTGGCATGAAATTGGTATGCGCGACAAAGAGATACAATAAGTAAAAAATATTTTTATGTAAGATAGAAATTGAGAGAGAGAGAGACAGAGAGAGCTGACGAGTATCGAAAATTATGAGAGGGACGAATGTACTTAGAAGTATATTTGGAATACATTGATCAGTTAATTAATTACAAATATACGCGTTTACCTATTATTTCCTCAAAATACGTATCACACTTCAGTGTCGCAGAGAAACTTTATTTGTCTCTTCTCTTCCGTCTCTCTCACGTTTGTCACCGACTCGCGAAGAAGATGAACACAAACTTGTAACATTTTAATACAACCGACTTGCTGAACTTGATCAAGAGTGGAGCAATCTATATCGAAAGTTCTTTCATGGCGAAATATTTACTGCAGGATCTTACTCTCAGTTTACTTCAAATTTGATTCTCTTACAATCGGAAGAATAAATGCGCTGAGAAAACAGTCTTTGCAAATTTATTTGTGGCATACAATGTTGATTTCACTGAAATAAGTTTTATATGCCGCGAATAAATTTTCAGAGACTTCTTTCTCAGTGTATGAATGGATAGAATGGATAGACTATAAGGGATTAGAATACAATCGGTAGATTATACAAATGAATAGAACGTACGGGACTAGAAAGTACAGGTACTTGAATTTTTTAATTGTCCAACCGACATTATTAACACATCGTTCCTTCTCCATGGTGCTTTCAATTGTATTTCCTGAACATCATTTTTGCATTTGAAATGTGCGCAATAGATGAGCGAACGATTAGCCAGGATAAATTATCGATTCTAATCTATTTAGCCCATCCATTTGAAGACAATGGATCTGTGACACGTTGTGTCTACCTTTAGCAGTGGCCTTTTTATCTTTATCTCCATTGCCTTCGTTTAAAATAAAAAAAGAATCCGTCACTCGCCACCAGTGCGACGCGCAGCAGCGGAATTGTGGCACAAGAACAATGTAAAATAGAAATATATTCAGATTGTAGTAGCGCTCGAGACAATTGTTGCTTAAAAGATTCATTGTTGCATAAGTATAGAATAAATTATTCACCTCACGTTTACTCCGTCGTCGCGCGATGCCTCCTCCTCCTCCCCTCAGATCTTCTCGTTGCACACACACACACACACACACGTCTCACATCACACGCACTCGCGAAGATAGTTAATTATTATCGTGCGCGTACTAATGATCGGAATATTACGATCGGGCGCAACGCTTCCGTTGTTAACTACACGTTGCACGCACTTTGTTACGTTACGAAATAACGTTATGGAGAAATAACACGAACGAGCTCCGATCGCACGAAGCTGCGACCGGCGAATCGACGTCAAACGCGAATCTCAAACAATACAAGATTTAAACAAATCACAGTGTATATCGAATTCACAGTACGCGATTGTTACACTTACCGAAGCACCGAATAGTATCACAATTGTGTTAATTAAACGTTACGCGACGCGACGCGGAAGTCGTACGGGACATCTTTATTCCGATAGATATAAACCATCGTTGGCGAGAGAGTCGGTCGGAGCGCGGATCGGTAATCGCCGAGTCCCAGTCTCCGATAGATGATTAAGCCCCAAGCCGTAAGAAGTTGACCGATCACGGTCAAGTATGAGCAGAATACGCGGCTGATCGCTTTAAATCTCTATTGCAGACGGGCACTAATTGCTCGCGCGAAACGAACGTGAAATACTCGCAGTATACGCGATCGCGGCACGAGGAGCCTTAAAGATACGCGGAGCCGGTCGGCGCTCGACTGCCCGAGTGACTGATAACCCAACGGCTCCAACGGCCCTCGGTACGCCGCGTAATTGTTCACGTTTTTTCGGGCGTCGAGCGCGCGCCGTGCATTCCAGAAACTGTTTACTATACGGGCGTTTCGTGGAATCACCTGCTCGGCGAGGGGCGCGGAAAACAATGCGTACTACGCGCGCGCGCCCGTTATCATTCACCCGGCGAGGCTCGCGCGGTAAGCACGTGGCGCGTCGCCGCTCCGCCCGTCTTCGCGTTATCTTTCGAGACTCGGTCACGCGATTGGCACCGGGAGATGCGCAGAGTCCGCATGCTGTACGAAGGATTAGCGGATGCGTATGCTCGACCGCGATCGAGCCTCACGATTAGCGATACGCAACAGAGTTACTTATGGCCGGTTCTACATTGATCGTATCGTCGCAAATCGTACACTGAAAGAAGAAAATCCGATATATTCGACCAGACATCTGTTAGAAAATGGACGAATCAGAATTCCTTTATCTACCGGATGTGTAGTGAAGTCTAGCAAACTTCTATCTTTCACCAGAAGTTAGAAGTTTGCTAGACTTCACTACACATCCGGTATAGATAAAGGAATTCTGATTCGTCCATTTTCTAACAGATGTCTGGTCGAATGTATCGGATTTTTTGTTTTCAGTGTAGATTCAACCAAGCAGCGTTGAATTGGACCCAGTCTACGGCCCTCGCGACGCTACGATGCGGCCAATGTAGAAGCGGCCTGTCGGAAGGAATGTTTCAATGATTCGCGGTCGTGAGAATAATCGGCTGCGATCGGTCAGTTCAGTCAGACACATAATAATTAACCGATCATAGTCGACTATTCTTACGACTTACCGCATTTGAGGTTTGCACGGCCACGATTCGTCGAGAACTTTCCGCACCGATCGCGGTTCGTCCGTTGCGCGGCCCGTAATTCTTTTCGCGCGTTCTTTTTGCTCCTTCTCTCGTTATTATTCCGTAGTGATGCAATCAAGTGCGTGTCGCGTGCGATTAACACCGCGCAAAGTGCCGTGCGGTCGTATTCCGGTGATTATTACGCACGCGAGTGTAATTAACTGTGATCTCGCGATCGAGTGTTGTGCGAGTGCAACGGCTGGAGGTGGCTGAGAGGAGGAGGAGGCCCTGGGAGGCATCGGGCGACTGCGGCGCGAGCTTAGGGTGAGTAACTTATCATTTATTCGTCATTTGGCTCGCGGAATTAATCGTCTATTTCCACGTGTCTGCGGAAAGGTTTCCGCGTGCCACTTTCCATTGCTGTAACGTAACGATTTGTTTGCTCAAGATCGCCTTTGGAATCCCTGCGTTTTAAAAGATACTTGCGACATGCTTAGTAAATTTATTGTTATATTTAATATTTACGCGTATGTCAAAATTTCCTTGAGACACGCTTTAAATTTTGTAGATTGTCCCTGTAAGAATTAAATATTTACTTATAAAATTGACAGAGATTTATCGGGATTTGCGTAATTTTTTTCAATTCGTCTAATCAAAGATAGACGACGGTTCAATGCACGCGATAACTATTTTCTAGAATGTTAACTTTTTGAAGCGATCCTCTAATCTCGACAATATTTGTGTTCCCAGTTCAACGTAATATTGGAATTACGTGGTTGAACTCAGCTACGCCGTTGCCGCGCAGCGTGTTGGTGAGTAATTATCTTGTGTTTTAAATTAAGGTGATGGGTCTGTGAAAAACCTAGATACATGTACCAAGCTAAGAGGTGCAATGTTATAGAGAAATACAACGCAATACACGTGTTGCCTTAAAATGAACGGACTAAAATAGATAAAAATAGTATTTCCTGGATGACTGTTCATTTATTACACGTACAGAGCTCACGAAATTGAGCTCATAATGTATCAATATTATTCACATTGCGACGTTATGCAATAAGATATTAAAAATAAAATTTAGAAAACAATCCCACAATTAATAAAATCGAAAGGAAACATATTACGGATCGATAGAGTAAACTTGGTAAAAGTGAAAGATAATAATAGCGTAAATTCCGCGCGATAAAAATTGCCTTTGAATCTCTCCTTACTTTTTGCCAAACACTACGTAAATAAGATTTTCAGGCAACGCAGTTATTATTTACGTATTAACAAAGGCGACGATTATTTCTTTATTCATTGCTATATACAGGGTGAGTCTTTCCATACCCGACAAAATTTTTGAGAAGGTAGAACGGATCGAGATGAACGGAAACCTGTACCTACCATTTTGCAATTTTCGAAATAGTTAACGAGTAATTAATTATTAAGAATCGTTGTCTTAGGCCGGCCTACCGCCCAATTCGAGCGCGTGG